CAACGAGGGATAAGTGAGTTATGGTAGGAAGTGGTGCATGGCGCGTGCGATTTATTGTATACTAACAATTCACATGTGGTACAGGGACACGTGGATAATTTGGATCATTGGGAAAGAATATCACAATACATGGGAGCCAATTCCATATAAAGCTGCTGTGTGGTGGCAGCAGTGTGACATCAAAATGCTGTTTGCTCTCATAGCACTGTTCTGCCTTGTGGCGACCATTGGCGCTGACTGTGAGTACAATCCCATTCTCGTAACGAAACTTAAAGTCTTCATTCCGAAAGATCTTGGCATTATGCCTGCTGAAATCGAAATGGGATGAGATTTGAAATTAATCTGCTTTTTCAGCAACATGCCTCAACTACTTCCCGTTACATTCGTCGTATATGGATTTCCATCGAATCAACCCCAATTTGGTTGGTGTTTTTGAAAGTCGCTCAGGCAGTTGAATGTGTCGTGTGTCCAGTGAAAGTTTGCTGGAAGCACACAAACATCACATATTCACCAGTTTATTTCCTGACTTACTATTCGTTAATACAAATACCGTTAATATATGAAGTACGTTGATCATATATATGACCAACGCACTTCATATGATTCCACTTGACCATTTACATTCCTCCATCAACTGAAGGTCCTGGTCTTTCAGAAAGTCATTCAAGCAGTCGAATGTGTGGTGTATACAGTAAAACGGCAATTCACTGATTTATAAATTACTTTCTTGATTGCCATTACCATTACCGTGCTGCATGATCTCCCAACCTACCCTTTCATGATACAACCATTGATCCTGATACATCCATCATCTGAAGTTGCATTTGACTTTTAATCTTTAGGTGTGGAGCAATACCCTTGCAAGCGACGCTTGCTATGAAGCAAAACAAGAGGAGATCACTGATGCTAAGCATAGGCTCGTAGCAACAATGTAGGTATTCGTTCCTTTGGGGGTCCAACCTCAAACATTTCCTAGGTTGAAGTTCATTATTTAGGAAGTTCGACGGTAAGGTGAACAACAGGATAGTTTCCGTAGTACGAAAAACTCTCCGCTCCGTGGACCGTTCCGAGAAAGAGAAGGTGGGTATGATGTTCATTCTGTGACAAGATTTGGAAGGTTTTGCACGTGCAGCTGTTCGCTACTGAGATCGAAGACCATAGGTCCCAGAATGCGCAAGTTTCAGGCTTTCGTAGAGTTTGACAAAAATGCAAACACTCACAATGTTTTTATTCGAAAGCAGCAACATCACGGTGACGTCAGTCCTGGCTTGGATATTCTTTTCCGCCTTATCTGTCTTGTTTAGGTGCGAGACCTTCAGCCCATGAAGTTCGGATGCAACAGCATGAACGATGGAGTTTGGATGAGGGTCGTTTGCCTTTACGACTGACTTTGAGAGACAACGAGGCATTGAAAACGGATTCGCATAAAGTTCCTACGAACCATACTGTTTCAAATTATTGTTGCTAACACGTATTTCCGCTTCCATTCACGAGCGCGATGAAAATGATTGGTGAACACTGTCAGACGCATAACTCCTTAACCAGCCCTATACACTCTGCGAATCCGTGGCCCAGTCGCGGTGACAATGGTGATGCGTGACCACGGAGAAAGTTTTCATCGGAAACAGCTTCTCTTTGCAGCACGATTGAGTCAGAATTATAATGGTCAAAAACGGTTGAACATTGAAAGCAGAACATCTTTAGAGTTCAAAAGATTATTGCTTCTATGACGAACACACTTCGGCGTATGCAGCACAGCACCATCCACATTACAGTGAGTGGAAGCGCGCTTGCGGGGCCGTGGTGGCGCTGGATTCCAAACACGCGTTTGAAGCACTGGAATTTTGCGTTTTCGTTTAGCAAGAGTAGTGGACGGTTGTTGTTCAGCATGGCAACATAAATGCAACTGTTGTTATAGCGATCTAAGACGGTAGCTCTGGACGAGCAAGCAAGGAAATTGTAATACATGGACTACACCGACAAAATCCATTCTTCACACATACATAGCGAAATATTCAGAGAGAGGATTTCTTTCGATTTTTTTTATCCATTCAGCAAAGTTTGAGCTCTTCTAGAGGTCTACAAGCTTCACATACATGGTCCTACGCCAACATCATTCCAACGTTTACACATACATAGCAAGACATTCGAAGAGGGAAACTGGTCAACTAACAGCTAACCGGCATCCTGCGTGATTTTGTGTATGGCTTGGAGTGGGTCCTTTAGTACGCTGCAAGGTGGTACAATGTGAAATGAAAACCAGGAAATTATGCAACCTTCACAAATATCCTACTCTGTCTTTTCCTATGAGAATAGGACAGCTAGATGCTAATGTTAGCTTTCGTTTCATCACTAAACCTTCATGCAGCATACTCCCAGACCCCACTCCGACCCACATC